ATTCGCATGCCACAGAAGCTCGATGTGGCCCGCCAAATCGGGCTTCCAACAAACGAGCAACTCACACTTTCTCCGACTTTGGTGAACACGTTCGCACCGTTTGCCCCAGAAGACCGACCGTGCATGCATTTATTTAGCCCGACAATTTGAATCTTGAATCCCAACCCATTCAAATCCAAATGAACTCCTACCGCTTTCGGCATTCACGTGATTGCACGCGATGCCGCGGCGCGCACCTACGCCAGATCGGTCGCACGCGCGTATGTATGGATATGTCGTGAACTTGCGTGCGGGCCAACATGCACGCTTTGTCGTCGAGATCTTGCTCGCGCGGTGAGTGTGAGTTGAATGAAGTCTTGAGTCAGAAGCTTCGCCGTTTCCTCAAGTGACTGACTGTATTATGCAGCGGTCATCGCGCGCACGCATGACGTTCTACACGGCATGACGTGCGCGGGGGAAGCGAGACGAGCTCCAGCCCGCTTCACCTTTTGCGGGGGCACGTGTCCTCACCTATCACGTGCAATCGAAATTTGGCTAGACTCGCCGAAGTCTCGAGTGTACAGCTTTTCGCGTGTTGATGCATGTACAGCTCAAGAATCACAACACTTGATTCACATTCTTGCCTCGAACTGCGACGGTAATTGTGGCCATGCCTCCATGGGGAACCCGTGCAACGAGACGAGAAGCAGCAGCCAGACTGGTATCTGCGATCGAAAGACGTGCGACCGGCAGATGCTGATGAGAGCATTCGGACGTATCGAAAGGTCAAGTCGCGGACATGGCAAAGAAGGATGCGAGCCATGATGAAGCTTTAGATCAGGCGAATGCGGCGGACCCCGTGTTGCCAAGTCCTCCAAACGACTTGATCGTACTGCAGCAAGGCTTCGCAAGACCCGTGACAAATGCTGACGATGAGGTGAGTACATTTCCACGGCTCATAGTCAAGCTCTCTTTGCCGTGCAGTCCGGACGCTGTAGCCTTGTGAGCCCCTGTCTCCTCTCCAGACCTTTCTGCTCTACTCTTTATCCCGTCCCGAAGACGATCGAGCCGGGCTAGGCTTCGTCAATGCTTCCTCCGACACCTTGCGAGTCACAGTGGCTTTGCGACATGCAGACGGACACCCGGAGATTGCAGTCGAGTCCATCGACGAGGAGGAGCAAATGCAAATCATGAGCGCTAGATACAAGTCTCGAAGCAGAGGTAAAGGAGGAGCATCGAGCGCTCGGTCTCGGAAAGCACGCACAAGTAGCAAGGACCAAACGCCTTCCCTTGCAGAGGTGGGCCAGGTAGTTGTGGCCATTCGCCAGAATGTGAGCCCTGACATAAACGTCCTCTGACCTTATCGAGCTGACACTCACCAAGCGGTCGTATCCAGACCACCTCGCTGCGCTCCACTGTTGGCGACACGGGAAGCGTTGTTTGGCGATCGAGGTGAGACGTCCCGATCAATCATACTGATGCTGATAGCGATGCTCAAGTATGCTGCGTCGATCTACCCAGCCTTTCTCTTGCCTCTTTGATGCTTCGACAGCTGCTGTCGCCAAGCTGCGAAACCTCAGCATCAGCACCACCGCTACTACAATCTCACTCTTTTCAGATCGCAAGAATTCTAGAGCTTGGAGCGGGCACCGGTGTGCTCCCCTTGCTCCTCCTTGCGCATCCGGACATTGCTGCGCCCAACGTCGGCACAACCTGGATAGCGACGGATCAAGCGGCTATGATGCCCCTGCTGCGTCGAAACCTCGATGCGCATCATCTGTCCCAGACCAAAGAGGCAAATGCGTCCACCAGCTGCAATCAATCTTCAGGCGTACGCCTCGGTAGTGCCGAGCTGGATTGGCTGGAGGCGCAACAAGCTTGGGAGAGCGGAGTCGAGAGCAGACGACAGAGGTTTCGAAGCGCCGTTCTGTCTGACTTTGTGGGGAGGAGCACTTGCCACGTAGACAAGGAAGCGCAAGCTGTTGAAGACGATGCGTGGCCGGATCTCATCCTCGCCTCGGACTGTAAGTCACATATCGCTGGTCAGCCAGCGTGGCGCACTTGAGCTCCTGAGCTCAACTAGCATCATTCATTCTGCCGCCTCTGAAACAGGTATATACAACCCATCGCTGTTTGCCGCTCTTCTCGCAACGATTGATCTGTTCTGCGCGCCGAATCGCACGCTGGCCCTCATCGTCTGCGAGCTTCGCTCAGCCGAGACTGTTCAGCTGTGGCTTTCCAACTGGTTAGCGCGAGGCTCGTCCGAAGACCGAGGGCCTAATACGAACGGCAAGTGGTGCATCTGTAGCCTCGAGAAGGAGATGCTTGGACACATGATGGGCAAAGGTAATGCCGCGTGGGTCGCATGGCGCACGAGGTAGCGACACCAGACAGCCTGCCGAAGTTCCCTCAAATGATCGCTCGCACAGGAAACATTTTACAAAGTGAATTGCTTGCCAGACTCGCATCCGTAGTGAGAGTATACACGTGTAGAAATTCGATACCCGATCAAGAAAGTATGCATGAAAGCAGGAAGGAGACATGTGCCGCGAGAAGAGGCAAGCTAGCGCTCACTTGCGACGACGTTTGCCACCGGCAGTCTTGCGTAGTGAGATGAGGTCGCTCTCAACCTCCCAGTCCTTGGCGGCAGTAAGCTGAGCGACGCTCTTTCCAGCGTCCCACCTGAGTCGACCGTTTGAGACGGCAGCTGCGGCCACGGCGGCGGCTGCTGCCGCCGCTCTGGATTCTCTGTCATCGTCGTCTTCTTGGATCGTTCCATCTGCCGAAGCCGCGGCTGCAGCTGCAGCAGCATTCGCGGCGCTTCCTGCCCCACCTTTGGCGCCCTTCTTTCCTTTGCCTGCGACCTTGGCAGCGAGTGCTGCACGCATTCCAGACATATACGAGCTGTCTGCCATACCTCCGCCAGCTATGGCTGCGCCCGTGGCTTGGTCCATCACGCTGCTGGCGGGCAAGCCAGCAAAGAGGGAGCCGAGACCGCCAAGAGCCGACGCTCCGCCAGCTAGTCCGAGCTCCGCCCCGCCTTCGCCCAGCAACAGGCCCAAGCCCGTATTCACGTCCCCTCCGCCTGCATTCTTCTCCTCGTCTCCCCGCCGCGATGGCGGATTAGCGCCTGGTTTGGCTCGCAGCTTGCGCGTCGCATGTGGCCGAGCTGCCGCGTCCATAAAGAGATCTGGTGGGTACGGGTGGCAGGGTCAGCACCTCAAAAGACTGACGCGTCACCGTACTTTGGCCCAGAGTAGCACTCACCAGCTGCACCGTCCCCGCTCTCCTTTTCTTCTCTCAGCCTTCGCCGCCGCTCCTCTGTGGCAGCCAACAATCGATCTCGAACGTTCTTTCGCGCAATTCTAGCTTCGTCTTCTGCCCGGGCCCTTTCGCTCTCATACGCTGAGCGAGCAGATTCGACCTGATAGGCGTGCAGCAGAGCTCCTCGCTGCAACGACGCATCTCGCTCTATGAGAAGCGAGTGAGCGGGCAAAACGTAGGCTCGCGAGAGCTGAGGTGACAACAGCAATGTATTGGACTGGGCAATGAATGATCGTGACAGATCCTCGAAGATACTGCAGGTGGAAATGGAAGGACGCAAACGTCAGCACTTGCGAGATGGCAGAAGAAGACCGAGAGGCCCGTGCGAGGCATCGCGTGAACTCACACGTCCCTGGCTTCGAGCGCTTGCCAATGAGCGTTGTGGACCCGCTCGATGACTTCCCTTCTCTTCTTATCCTTTTTGCTCTCGGCTGGGCCTGACAAGACGTGCCCATCCTCGTCGACCAAACCGACATTGCCCGCAAGCGTGCCGTCCGCGAGCGCGGCTTTGCCGGGAGCAGGGCCTAAAGGCATGGTGGCTGTCGTCTCGTTCGCAGCAGCAGCTGCTGCAGCCGCTTGCGCCGAAGCCTTGCTGGCCGAATTATTCGTCTTGCTGCGCTTGTTCGATCGACCATCCTTCTTCTTGGCAGAGGAAGGGGCTGTAGAGGAGGTTGAGGCGTTCGTCTGCCTCGGGGGAGCCACCGAGCTGTAGTGCGGTTGAGCGTAATGAGGGTGACCGGGTGCTCTGGGATCCTGCATCGCGTTTACAGCGTGATGCGGTGGCAGATCGTAATGCGCAGATCCATTGACGCCTCCTCCGGCGTATGGGTAAGCGTGAGGGGGATGCGGACCAAGGTGTGCGTTGGCTCCTGCATTGGGAGATGGTTGAATCGAGCCGCCATAATGTATATGTCCATGCGAATGAGGATCCGGGTGCACGTGTTGTCCGTTCGGCCGGCCCTTGTGGGGTTGTGGGACCATAGATGCGGGTGGTGGACCACTAGCAAATCCTAGAGTACCATGATGACCAGCTGGTAGAGGTGGGGGCCCACCACGAGCAACCTCACCTCCGTGCATGCCGTGTACCATGCCATGGTCGTGGGGAGGAAGATGGGCATTGCGCTGCTGTGGTGTGTGCCCCGCCAAATGAGCTGGTCTGGTCGCTGGTGAAGGTTGCGCGGCCTGTGGTGGTGGTGGATGGCTAGCTGAGCCATACGGCACCTGATGGGTAGAGCGGTGCTGTTGCGAAGAGTTTGGGTGGTGCGGTGGCTGGTGATGTTGCATTTGCTGCTGCTGCATCTGCGGGTGGTAGCCGTAAGAGCCGGGTGGGTATGCGTTGGGTCCATGTTGTGCCGAGCCTCCTACTGCGCTCGTCGATGGCAGCGGACCTGGCCTGAAGGGGACATCTGGACGAGCAGCGTAGGCGGTGCTGGAGCCGCCGGCATGGTAGGCTGCCATGGGAGAAGCGACCGCTGTGCGCTTGCGGTGGATCGGGTGCTGGCTGCTAAGCCAGCGTCCTCGGATGAGGACGTGTGACCGATTAGCAGGAGGCGTTCCTGGTCGAATGGAGCTCCAATTGCGTGAAGCAGAGTTCACGTCTCACACCGAGCCGCAGAGACTCTCGAATACCTAATGCGTGGAATTTGAGATTGAACAAGCAACTGAATCCAGGAAAGGGCAAGGCCAGTCGACTGCTTGAATGAATCTCTGCGCTGTCGTGTGTTAGGCCGAACTGAAGCGAGTCGTCGGCAAAGGCCGGATATCCTTGCCAAGCTTGCAAAATCGAACGGATGAGAAGGAGAAAAGGTGTTGACGAAGTTGTGAGTGATGGATGCTGCAAAGACTGTCTGTCTGTCGGTCATGCTTGCTGCCTGCCTGACCATCTCCCGCCATGCAGGCACTCTTGACTGTGACTTCCCACTCACGACTCTGAAATCCGAGCGAAGCGATCGC